GCTCTGCTCTGCTCTGCTCTGCTCTGCTCTGCTCTGCTCTGCTCTGCTCTGCTCTGCTCTGCTCTGCTCTGCTCTGCTCTGCTCTGCTCTGCTCTATTATTGATGATGTTTTTATCCATAAATTTTGTTCTTTCTGATTGATCTTTCAATTACAAGCGACATGCATTTTAAAGCATTTCTGGCGATAACGTATAAATGTTGGTATACTTTTATGTACGGGCTTTCGTACTTTAAATTGACACATTTCGATGCAATGCTGGCTGGTTTTATCAATCAAGTCATGGAAGCGCTTGTTTGGTAGCAAAAAGCCAGTGCATATAAGGCCATATTTTTATTCATTGTGCTGTAACAAATTGAGGAGACTAGTATGTAAAACCTGTTAATAACTTTCTTCTGTTCAATGTTAATTAATACCTTTAATACCTTTAAGCTCAACCAACAGTCAAACAACTCTTCTTCTTTATCTTACTTGGAGGTAACTCAATGTCTTCAAATTCTTTCAGCACCTCATACATTGTAAACGTGTACAGTGGATGTACATTTATTAGCCATTCCGAGGAAGTTGCAAGAAAAACCGGGTCAGTTGCCAACTAGACCAAGTTTTTCTTTTCAACTCGGAATGGCTCATACTTCACTCCATGTTTGCATCTAAAAAAAGTTAATTTCTTCCACTCTCTCCATCTCTACAGCTGTGTAGATTTAGCTTGCAGATAAAAAGATACTTTACTCCACGTTTGCATCTAAAAAAGTTGATTTCTTCCACTTTCTCCATCTCTACAGCTGTGTAGAATTCACGGATCCCGTTACTCAAGCTCAGCCTCGTCAGCGTGTAATTATTCTTTAGAATTTGACTACAGTCTGCAGTAATGAAAGGAATTTACACATCACGAACAATTGAAACACTTAAAGATTTTACAGGTTGTAGGCAATTTCTAAAGAATATATTACACGCTGACGAGGCTGAGGTTGAGCCGCGGGATCTGTGAAATGGTCTATTAGCTTGCAGATATAAAAAAACGTGTTCGTTCAACTCTCCCTCGGAATGGCTCATTAGCCCTTACTTCATGTTTGCGTCTAAAAAAGTTGATTTCTTCCACTTTCTCCATCTCTACAGATGTGTAGAATTAGCTTGCAGATAAAAAAAAAAACTTGTTCGTTCAAATCTCCCTCACTCTCTCTTTCTCTTAAGGCCAGTTTAAACGGTACGATTTTCGCCTACAACTATCGTATACAACACGCTCGCGTCTGTCGTAGGCGAGTTGTAGGCTTGATTTACACGCTACGACTCGAGTTGTAGGATGACGCGAGCGTCTTGTAAACGATAGTTGTAGGCGAAAATCGTACCGTCTAAACCGGCCTTTAGACTACTAAGCCATTTATCCAGGACATGAAGTTGTGTTGCCATACGTGCCGTTCCACAATGTCAACAGTTATCAGCCCACATGCTTTTGATGCCTGTAATGTCATCTACGCTCAACTCTGATTATACTCAATACTCATACCGATGACTTTTCCAACCCATTTCACTCAACAATTTACATTACCCTTAATTAAGTTTCATTACACTTTCACTCAACCATTCCTTATACTTTACTCTAACAATCACTTATCTAACCATTCATATTCATCTAGGAAAAGCTAGACTCCCTTACAATATTTCCCAAATGGCACCAGCATTATGTTTTGAAAGTGTTTTAAGCTGTCACCCCTTTGTTATTTATCGTGTCTAAACTCACTTCCTATCRTCTATTCCAAAGAATTAAAACTTTGCCGCATACCCCATGCTGTTCGTTACATGCACTAGTACTTAACACTATTATTCAGTTATTTTACTCGTATAATTTATTTTTTTTTCTCCATTACCAACATTTTGGTACCTTTAGACTCTAAGCCTGGAAGAGCTAGAATCCAAGTGCTATGACAAGTTTGATATCAAATTAGAAGCCCTTCAGGTGTTGGTTGCAACAAAAGGTAAGACCAATTGAAAACAATATTTTCCCTTTTTACCATTTCGAAAGGACTAACGACCAAAACCTTTCTATGCGCTGGTTGTATCCAACACATCCATGAAATCCCAACTAATAAGCATTAATCATCAGTCGCTTCTTGTTTTAGATATGCGCGGCAAACAAATCATTTGCAGTCATCACTAAAAAGTGATATAAAATTGATTATAGACTGCATTAAGGCCATGTTAAACTAGGCAATTTTTCTTGCAACTTGCAATGCAACGCCGTTGCGAACGAACCATTGTCAGTTGGTCAGTACTTTTCAAAAACCGGCATTTGGTTATGAGAAATAGATTACTACTAGTTCAACCAATCAGAACGTGGAGATTGTAATACTCCACACTGTTACGTAATACAGCTAAGATATAACGAGTAATGAGCGTGCGACCATAGCTTAATGGACAGCACGCTCTTGATTCCATACCACTACACCACCCTCGTTTTCTTTGATATCAGTTGACAAACGTCGTTTGATTGAGCCGTTTGATACTACAGGTGATGCATGGGATGCTGCACGTCAGACAACCTTATCCAAGCTACACATCCTTGATCCAATGGAACTGAATCTTAAACTTCAGAAAGCACTAAACCCTGATGATCTCAGGCTCGCACAGTGAGTTAAATCCATAGCTGATATGTTGACACCATATTGACACCCCCTCCCCCAAGGCAAAATCCTGGCTACGCCCCTTGCCACCATTTACTCTGTACTTTTCAAGATTGAGCATCATGTTGCATAGTCTAGCAGCAGAGGCAAATTCAGAAATCACCGAGTAAGAAGGCGCTCAGGCAGCCTTGGCATGCAAAACCATAGACATAGAAGCTTCGGATGAAACAATGGCAATATGATTTCTTGTATAAACGAATCCTTCACAGGGGGTTTCAAGAGGGCGCAGGACCATTCCGACCCTGCCCAAAAGCTCCCTCCCTGCCTACTTGTTTCCCAGCTTATTAGACTTTATATAATTGATAATATTAACTAGTTTTCCATTATTTTTATAGAATAAAGTTGTCTGGCAGCCTTCATTCCATTAATCTTCGTGTCACAGACAAGAAACTGGAACAAATAATGAAGGTTGGTTCGTTCGTTGGTTCGTGTTCGTTGGTTCGTTGATTTGTTCTTTCGTTCGTTTTTCGTTGGTTCGTTGGGGTTCGTTGGTTTGTTCTTTTGTTTCTTTGTTTCTTCGTTTGTTCGTTCGTTCATTCGTTCGTTCGTTCGTTCGTTTGTTTGTTTGTTTCTTCGTTCATTTATTCGTGTTTGTTTGTTATTTGTTTGTTTGTTCTTTCGTTCGTTCGTTTGTTTGTTCGTTCTTGTTTGTTTGATTGTTCGTTTCTTTTATTTGTTTGTTTAACTTGTTTGTTCTTTCGTTCGTTCGCTCGTTTTTCGTTCGTTCGTTTGTTTTTCGTTCGTTCGTGTTTGTCTGTCTGTTTGTTCGTT